TCACTCCAGCTAGTGACCCTCTCCCAGGGAGAGGGTGACTGCAAAACCCTCTTGCTTGGGTGCAGGTTTTCCAACAGTAGCATTACTGACGTCTCCAGATGGCTATTTATTTGTTGACCTGCACACTGTAGGATGTTCAGTATCATTCAGGCTTCTGTCCTCTAGATGCCAGCAGCCCCCCTCCAGTTCTGACAACCAAAAATGTCACCAGACATTGCCATGTAATCCTTGGAGGTAGAATCATTTCCATTGAGAACCACAGCTTTATGGCCACCTACAGCCAACTTTTCCTGCCCCCTTGTTCTCAGGGGGTTTATGGAGCTGTCAACATTCTCTCATGTCACCATGGATTCCAAGGGTATCTGGAAAACCTCCACTGGTAGTTTCCTAGGAGACCTGCTTTACCTCCAGCCTTCACCTGGGCTGAAGGGTTGGTAGCAATTAGCTTGCTGTCAGGCATGAGAGATGTGTGCTCTGTACTTTGTCTGCCAAAAGGGCTTATAAGGGATGCAGACAAAAAAGTTAGACAAAATATGGGAAAGAGTATTTTCAGAATTGAGTTTTTCTCAGTCATCCCAAGAGTATTTCGAGGTGTTTGTGTGTCTGGCCTTTGTCAGCAGAGAGAATACACTTGGGCTGAAGTGCTGAGAAGGCAAAGAAGAGGTGGCCCAAGTCCCAGAAGATATTTCAGATGGTTAGCTGACAAAATCTCCATCCAACTCTAGACAAAACAGAGGGGAGTCATGTAGAGATTTACCTCCAAATTACCCAAAAGTTTACGTGCAAACCTTCATCACCAGCAGTCAGGTCTGGATTACCCATAATCAGGTGTTAAACTACTTCCATATTCTTCTGGAAAATCATCCAGGTTCCCTTAACCCAGGCTTTTGTGGGTGTGTCACTATCACAGCAACACCTGCTCTGGCCTGCAGCCTGCATCCCAGAAGATAGAAGGAAAAAGCCTGAAATCTGCAAATACACCTTATTCTCCTCAATGTCAAGGAGCATGTGAGCCAGTGAATGACGACTTCTTAGAACAGGAGCTTGCTCTTTTGAGCACTCCTTCCAGTGGGGAGTCAGGGAGAAGTCGGCAGATGCTCACTGGTGCCCAGGCAGCAGGACCAAGGATAAAAATTGGTCCTCTGTGATATCATATGATGATAACGCCACTCCATGCCCAGGGAAGAGGGTGAAGATCAAAGCATAGGAGAGAAGAGATTCTTCACCATGGAACAGTGGCCCCAAACCCCAGGCATCAAGTAGGTGGTATCCAACAATTACTGTTCTTTCTCTTTGTGATAAAAACATGCCTTGGAGGACAGGAGAAGTTTGGACAGATGACACCCACCAATCCCTACTCAAAGAATGAAAAATCTAGTCAAGTACAAGAAAGCAGGGGCTGGGATTTGGCTCAGTGGTAGAGTGCTTGCCTAGCATGTGTGAGGCACTGGGTTCGATTCTCAGAACCACATATAAATAAATGAAAGGCCCATTAACAACTAAAAAATATTTTTTAAAAAAAAAAAAAGAAAAGAAAGCAAACTCCAGCCCAGCAACTGAAGAGCACTTGGAAAGTCAACACGGAATTGCACAAAGAAACTGTAAGTGACGAGGTGAAGGGAAAAGAAGGGGCACTGGGAATCAGCTCAAGTTCCCTGGAAGGTGTTTGCAGGCTGCACTAGAAATTGTCAGGGCTGGACTCAGAATATCAGCCAAACATGGAATTAACAGCTTCTTCAGTCTTAGGTCCTGGTGCCAAGGTCAGCTATCCCAGCCACTCCCCTGATGCCTCTAAGACATAGACCTCTCCACCACCCACTCCTCCGGAGCCAAGGTCTCCTTTAAGAAGCTTCATGGATCCCCACCACTAAAGGACTTCCTAGGTAATAGGGTCTCCTGCAAACCCCACAGGATGAACAAGGCCAGTGGGCAGTCCAGGGAGAAGCAGCAGAGGACAGAGGACACTGTCTGAATGTGAGACTTGTGGCAAGTGGATATTGTGGCAAGTGGGCTTTGACCTAGGATGGAAATACTGCTTCCCTGGCCTGGTCTGGATGAATGTTTCCAAAGATAGCCTGCATGCTCACTGGTGCCCAGGCAGCAGGCCATGACCAGCTGGCAGCCTCAGAGACTGGGGAAGTGGAAGAGTCTAGACTCAGGACACTTGGGTCCATTTGTAGCTCATGTCCTCACCTGCTATAAGACCTTTGGTGAGCCCCCAACCCCTTCATCTGAAAGATGCAAATTGAGGCCTTGGGCTCCTTGCTCCTGAGTCTCTTCCAGCAATGATCTTCTGGACAATCTTCCAATGGCCAGCTAACGCTCCAACCAGGCTGCCTGGGGCAGGGCAGGGCCAGGATAACAGAGCTTTTGTGGCTCAGGCACAAGGTGTTTTCTGCAGGCTATCAGCAATTCTTTCCCAGTGGGTTCTCTATGGAAAATGCTGGGTTAAAGAACAGGATCAGGGATCCTATTTTGCTATGGGACTGCTCAGAACCTTTGATTTGTGCTTCAAAGAAAGAAACTCTAATGGGCATGGGACCTTTAATTTCAAAGTGTTTCAAGGGACTAGTGCTCCAGGTCAGACTTTGAGACAGGCTGCTCTTGAGGAATCCTGCAGTACACACTGTCCCAAGGCACCTTGATGGCAGAAACATTTTCTGGATGTCAGCTGGAATGGGGACCAGAGGAAAAACCCTCTGTCCCCAAGGCCTTCCTACTTCCTCCAAATGAGAGGAGGTAAGAGGAGATAGCTGCTCACATGGCCCAGCCTCCCCCCAGGAGCTGTGAATCCCCTCGGCCCCTCCCCACAGGGCTCAAGGAATAAATGAACAACCAACTGGTGCCCATTCCAGTCTCATTCAGCCGATGGTGGGGACAAACTGTCTTGTGTTAGAGCAGGGAGTGCTCCAGCTGCTCTGTTGACCACAGAGTCCACTTGGGAGAGGTGGAAAGCAGAGAGCCCAGGGAGGTGACCAGAAGGGTAGGTCCAGTGGGAAGAAGGATGTAAAGGAATTCTCAGAAGCCTGGGGTGAGACACAATGCACTTTATTGGTGACAGAACAGATGAGCAGAGGGTGCTGCATGTTATATACATCAAAACCATAGTGACCCTCCCAACCAGAGAAGGAACACCAAGGGCAGCAGAAGGTGGCAGCTGAGACCACAGCTGGATAATCACAGGCGCAGGCTGGAGCCAAAGAGAGGCAACTTGGCCAGGGATGTGAATGGAAGAGCAAGAGTGCTCGCCTTCCAGCCCAAGAAGCCGCTCCTTGGAGGCAGGGGCAAGGCACTGGGGGTATCACTGACACTGGGAGGGGAAGAAAAAAACAGGTGGGGAGCGAGACACTGGGCTTGCTGCAGTGCGGGTGCCCGTGAGCGCTCTTTATCGGATGTAGCGCTGGGAGGACTGAGAGATTTGGGAGGACTTGATGCTGCTCCCGCGGGTACTGCCTGAGCTGAAACCTCCGCCACTGACGCCACCGCGACCTCCAGAGCTGGAGCCAAAGCCACTGCCACTGCTGAAACTGCTGCCACCACCAAGTCCACTGCCAACACCAAATCCGCTGCCGCCGCCGAGTCCAATGCCGATGCCACCGCCGAGTCCACTGCCACCTCCGAGTCCACTGCCACCTCCCAGGCCAAAGCCACTGCCTGCACCACCTCCTACACCAAGGCCACCGCCATAACCGCCTCCATAACCACCTGCTGAGGCCGACGTTGTGCTGCTGCTGTTGACCACAGCTGTCGGGGAGGAGAGGACAGCAGTCAGTGGCCCAGTGCCCACAGCACCGTGTTATAATTAATTAATGAGCCACCAGGCTCAGGGAGATCCGGAGTGATCGGTGTATCTGATGATCGCTGTGAGCCATTCTAATGTCATCAGTTATGCACTCCAGTAATGTTGTCATTGTGAAGTAGCCAAGGGTTCCTTTTACATAGGGCCAACCCTTGATGACCCCCTTGGGTCCAGTGTCTGAATTTTTCCCCCAGTGATGGGCTTCTTATTGGATCCTTCTTACTGACCATCTATACCAATTAAAAGTGCCCTGAACCCAGAACAATTTCAAAAGCCAATCCACTAGCCCCTCCATTCCCAGAATACTCCTCCAACTTATATAGGAATGTTTTCTTAATTGATCACTACTTTCCTGTATTAGTACAGATATTTGAGAATCAACTCTGATTGTCAGGGTTCCTTTAGCTACTTACAGATGCTGACAGCACTCGGGCACTCTCCAGACATCCTGTTTAAACAAGAAAGCAAGAAAAAGGAAGCTCTGTCACTAAGCTGTCTCCAGCAAGTTCTTAGACCAAGGAGAGGAATAGCAACTAGAACTGAACTCAGAAGCCTGGCAGGTTGGTAAGCTCCATCCACCCTTCAGTGGGCCATAACAAGGAGACCTACACACACTGTCTGCCTACATGCATTGGCTTCCTGTGGACGGAGTGGGCTGGTAAAGGCAAATAGCTCTCTGCAAGACCTAAGGAAGGCGCTTCTTGGGCCCTACTGTGTCAGGTGGGCTTCTCTCTTTCCATCAGGCCACCATCTCCCTTCACCTGGTCACTTACATGGCCCTCAGCATGTAACTTGGGTCAGGGAGATGGGACTGGAGGCTCACCTGCACTCCTCGCCCTCCAGGAGCTTGCGGTAGGTGGCAATCTCCACATCCAGGGCCAGCTTGACATTCATCAGCTCCTGGTAGTCCCTCAGCAGCCGGGCCAGGTCATCCTTAGCCTGCTGTAAGGCAGCCTGCAAGTCTTGGAGTTTGGCATTGGCATCCTTGAGAGCCATCTCCCCACGCTGCTCAGCTTCTGCGATGGACGTCTGCAGATTGGCATTCTGGGAAAGGGGAAGTTAAATGAGATGAGCCCAATTAAAGGGTCCAAGGCCTTCTGCATCCTAGAATGAATTACCCATTCTAAAGTCGGGGAGCATCACCCCGTCCTAGCATCTCCATTTTGTCTCCATCCACAGAGTCACCAATCATCTAGACTAGTTTGCTCTTTGAACTCCCTGGAGGCAGATGCTAACTAGGATGACCTCCAGAAGTCCACTCCTAGTTAAGAAAGGACTTCCTTACTCCCTTCACTCACTAGGCAGCCCAGGAGCCAGCATTCAGGACCACCCCACCTGCTTCTTGATGTTCTCAATCTCTGCCCGAAGTCTCTGGATCATCCTGTTGAGCTCCATGATCTCACTCTTGGTGCTTTTCAGGTCATCTCCATGCCTGCCAGCTGTGCTCTGCAGCTCTCCCAACTAGAAAGCAAAAGGGAAGACTTTGCCTGACTTGTTTCTGTACCCAACACCCCCTACCAAACCTTGAGATGCTTAGTAAGCATTTCTTAAAATGGCATTGAATTGGGTTTCAGCAGGGAAGAGGACAACTGATTTGTTATGGTAGAAAATTCTTCCAGCCTGTAGTCACTGAGCAATTGAGAATCAATCCCCTGTGGCCTGGCAGGGGACAGTGCAAATATCTCCCCCACCCCCGGCCCAGGGAACAAGACTTCTGCAACTGAACAATCACTGAAGGATGTAGAACCAAGAAGAGTGCCCCCAGTAACCTTAGGAACTCACCACCTAGGAGTCCCATAGGCCACAGCCTCCCTGACATCCCCAGTGAGTCCTCTGAGAAATGCCTCACACGCACCTTGGTCTGGTACAGGGCCTCAGCCTCAGCCTTGCTCCTCTGGGCAATATCCTCATACTGGGCGCGGACCTCAGCAATGATGCTGTCCAGGTCCAGGTTGCGGTTGTTGTCCATGGAGAGGATCACAGACGTGTCACTGACATGGCTCTGCATCTGAGACAGCTCCTGCCAACACAAAAGGAAGCTATTAACTTTCAGGGTCTCTGCAACAAGAACACAGAGCCCCAGAGAGTCCTGATCAACAGTCCCACTCACTGACTCTTAGTTTTAAAGGTATATCTAGCCCACCTTGCCCCAGCCCTACAGAGAACTCAATGTCCACAGACCATACTGCCAAACCCCTTCCAAAGGGCCTCATCTCTAGGTTCTTCGCCAATAGTTTTCAAAATATATACCAAAATGCCACAGTCCCGAATCTGAAAACATCTCCCCCTCCCTCTCTTAGTAGGAAACATTCTCACTGCATCATAGAGGGTCCTCAGGAAGTTGATCTCATCCATCAGGGCGTCCACCTTGGCCTGAAGCTCCACCTTGTTCATGTAGGCAGCATCCACGTCCTGAGAGAGACAGGAACATAAAGGCCTTATTCCTCCAAAGAACAAGCTGCAAACTACAGCAAGAGAGCCAGGGGAACCATTGCTTGGGATGGTCCTTGTCCAAGATGGGGCACCACAACCAAGAGGTGATTCCTAGCTCAGAGTTAAATTCCATCAAAAACTAAAGGCCAGTGAACTGACTCTTTCAAGGATCTTTCAAACTAATGTGCATGTGACTTCTGTTTATTGCTCCAATGGCCTGAACTTGGAAGCCCCCTGGCAGGAAGAGTAAGGAGATCCCCGAAGCCAGCTGGAAATCTGCAGCTACGAGACCCAGAAACCTCACACATACCTTCTTCAAGGTCACAAATTCATTCTCAGCAGCTGTACGTTTATTGATTTCATCCTCATATCTGTGAAAGTAAGAAATAGATGAATTTGGTTATTAATCATCAATACAACTTTTCTCTGAAATCTCTTCCACCCCTTTGTCACTCTCCCAACCTCTTAGATGAACACATCCTCCTATCTCCCTAATAGTTAGGGGGACCAGCCATTCCAATTTCCCAGGCAAACTATCCCCAGGAAACTCCTCAATCCCAAGCAAACCTAAAGAATAGATCTTCCCTGACCTGGCTCATGAGAAAAAGTTTTGACTGTAATCTCAACCCTCTTGCCCCAAGTTCATTTGTAAAGAACTATGCTTGGAGAAGGAGAGTGAGGGGGAACCCAATAAACCCAACTATCCACCATGAAGGCAAGAAGAGGGAAAGAGGTTAGGTGACACCACAAAACACAGCAGTCACAAGGAATGCAGACAGGGCCATGACTCTGAGAAGGGTGACCCATGGCATCTTCCCACTCCTGCCCTGCCACTCACTTCTTCTTGAAGTCCTCCACCAGGTCCTGCATGTTCCTCAGCTCAGAGTCCAGGCGGCCTCTCTCCCCAAGGATGCTGTCCAGGTAGTTCCGCAGATAGTTGATGTGGTTCTCAAAAAGGGGCTCAAGGTTGTTGGTTCCTGTGATGGAATTGGTGCCCTGCTGCTGGAGCAGCTCCCACTTGGTCTCCAGGACCTTGTTCTGTTGCTCCAAGAACCGCACCTGCAGCACATGGGGGAAGCAACATCAGACAAAATGTGCAGTAGAGGAGTGGAGGCCCTTAATTAGCTCAGGTAGGTCTGGGTGTCTATATCTCCTGGTCCACCAGCACAAAGGCCTAGAAAGCACATGAAGAGCTCCAGCTCCTGCTACAGCTGCAGAGAATGTAGTCAGATGGGGGAATCAATCCAGGCACTAAGTTTGCAGCATGGCTTAGAAAGTTACCAGGAGAGGAGAGATGTGCAGGGAAACTGGAAATACCCCTGCCTCAATGAAGAATGGGAAAGATGCCTGGTGTTCCTGGGGACTTCAAAACTCTATCCCAATTTCCCCAAACGCAGCACTCTCTACAAAAATGTACCCAGCAGCACCATTTCCACATAAGACTACAGACGACGCAGTTCTTCAAAGGCTATGAACCACTGGGAACCAACACTGATTGACATATCATAGTCAGCACCTCTCTTGAGACTGGAGGGAAGACAGCCCCAGGTGAGCTGTCCTGATCTGAAGAAGGTCATGGAACACCTTCCTTTTCCTGAGAAGGTTGAGTAGGGGCACAGAGGAAATCACCAACTTCTCAAAGCCCCTTGGTCCTTAGGGTTCCACTTAAGCCTCATTCATCTCATCTCGGAGGCATCTGTCTCTTTGCGAGGCACCACACATAGGGAAAAGGGCCTCATTAAAAGTCTCAGAGGACAGCTCCTATTTGCAAAGTCCTCAGTTCTGGGTCAAACTCTTCCTCGCAAGTGGCCATGGCTCTTGGTTTGAG